GGGGGGAGCAGGACTTTGTAACGAACCCTTCCCGTCACTAGGTGGACACGCTGAGCCTGCTGCTGCGGCACGGGGCCACCGTCCACTTCCCGGACCGCGAGTGTGCGGACGACTCGAGGGCGACCCCGGCCGACGTGCTCTTCGGCAAGCTGCTGGACTTCCGGGAGCGGCGGCCGGGCGAGCCGTTCCCCGAGGAGGTGCTGCTGTGCCTGCGCCTGCTGCTGCGGGCCGTGCCCTCCGCGGCGGACTCCGCACTGCTCCGGCACTGCCCCGACGTCATCCTCTCCCTGGCCGCGCCCGACGGCTCCCCGCTGGTGCCCCCCAGCCGCCTCGGGGTCACCCCGCCCGAGCTCAAGCACCTGGCGCGGTGCACCGTGCGTCGGCACCTGTACCTCGCCTGGAGCCTGCCCCAAGGCATCCAGGCCCTGAACGTGCCGCACGCCCTGAGGAGGTACCTGGACCTGGAGCTGGACTGAGTGGGCCGGTCGGTGTTGCTGTGGCCCCTTGGTTTCCATCTGCAAAATTGTGTTTTATCTACAACATAAAATTGTGAAGTCTCTAGCTACTAAGTAAGTATACATAAGTCGGCATGATTCTTGATTATATTTAATAACGGTATATCATATTCCTAAACCGGAGAAACAGTGTCAACAAAATTACAATGTTTTAACCTGAATTCCGGTATTAATATTAGTAATTAAGTATCAAAGCGTTGTTAGTGATAAAGTGATGCTGGTAAACTGGGACCAAGTTTGTAAATGATATTTAGTAATGCTCATGGTCAGGGTATAGATGTTAGCAACCTCGAATATTGACTATTTTTAAGAGAGCCTTTTTGGAGGCCAACAGAGTGTGATCTAGTCAATTACTACTTTTTCAAGACTATATATAGTCAGTCAAAGCAAGGTATGTTCCTCCATGTTGTGGAGTACGTATTCCTGAGAAATAATTCATGCTATATGTTATTCTGTAAATATTTCCCTGCAAGACCATCAAAATAAATACAACAGAAGGATGCGAAAATCATTTCAACCTCAATTTTCGTTAATGTTCATAAAAGAACACAGTTCTCGCAAAACCAAAGCGTCCCCATGCATTTCTTCCATGAAACGCCTCGGTTTTTCACTCGGTTTTTCCATAGCTGCCTGAAAACTAGGGCGTTGTTTTTACCGTGAAGCGATGTGCGTTGTCACGGGCCTACCCTCGCCTGCTGAAACGCGCGAGTAACGTGTTGGTCTAACTATGGTTCAAAATCTAAATCAAGAATCTATCTTGAAAGCAGATGATACCAATTTAATACTATAGTATACCTGTGTTTTAATTTTTCTAGTTTAATTTATATTTGTGGGGGTTTTGCATCATTTTTTTAATGTTTCACTCATTTATCGTCTTTGACAGGCATTATTATAAAGGGGAGGGACGCGGTAGCGTACCGGGTGGCAGTCGCGGCTGTGGGACCCTAGTATTGTTGAGCAGGGGCCTGCCGCGACCGACGCGACAGTCGGGCGCTCGGGCACTCACTCACTAGGTCGGTAAGCTGCGGAGCAGCCAATGCCGCAGTATAAAGTGCACATATGAACGGGGGGCGCAGACCACCACACACCGCAAGAGTAAACCTGGTGGAGGAGAGG